CCTTCTTGCTTATCAGAGTTCTCCTCCTCCAGTTTCCAACTCCTCATATAGAGAAGAAATAAAGATACTGTTACAAGGGGTCTGAGGGAAGGAACACAATGTTGATTTTTGCATCTGCCAGTAGCACTTGCTAGTATTCACACAAACAATAGGTGAGAAAAAGTATTACGATTTGTTTTTTAGGTATTTTTTGAGAGGAAAATAATTGTGTCTGTTCTAACTGGAAACGGTGATAAAATGCAAACAGGTTGTAAAATGATTCATATAGAAGTTTTCCACAGGGTCTCTCTCTCTCTCTCTCTCTCTCTCAGTGAGAAGAAAATTAACAAGTACTGTAAAGTGTTTCACCTATGAAATACTTCTGATATCAGAAAAAACCACCAGAACCTTTGCTCATTTGATTTTTTTTTTATCTGTGAGAGGAACAGGCACAGGGGCAGGCAGTAGGACAGGACACTGAAAACTGTATTTTTTTAAAAAAAAAACATCTAAACTCGTGAGAATGTTTTTTTTTAAAAAAAAGAACCATAGAAAATGCTATGTTACAGATGATAAAAGTTTTTGGGAACACTCTTTCTCATTCAGCTCATTTGTATGTATTTGATAGCCCCCCCCCCATTAAGCATTCAATTGCACAGACACATTCGTTTGTGCAGAAGGCATGAAGCAGAGTAATGAGCCCATCTTCTTCTGTAGCAATTTCTGGTGATTGCTGCCCACTCTTTTCTGATACATGGAGCTGCCCAGGGAGATGGCTGAGAATGATGTTTTATTATAGTAATATTCCCAAGCAACTCCATATTTAATTTCTGTTTAATAGGACGGTTATTATGCAGCCATAAGCTACAAGGCTTCAGCGATGAGCTACCTGCTGAGGTTTCACTGTGTTACAGATAAGTATCTGGAGGGCAGAACTGTTAACATCCCTATGCTATATAGATATGTTAATAATGAAGAGCTTGTTAGCATATAATTGCTCTTCAGTATCTAAAGACCATGGGCAAGAAACTTTGCTTGAGGAGGTAGTAGATTTGGATGGCTTTGGAGCCCAGGCTTAAGACTAGACAAGGAGCTGTGATGCATGACTGCTCATGGTTTTGATTTCTTGGTAGATTAAGCCAGGATCCAGAGCTAAGGGACAGCTGAAACAAACCACAGCCAGGAAGACCATGGTTGCCTGGGGAGTGTTGAGCCAAAACCAGGAGGGTTTTTTTTTTTAATAGCTCTTCCTGTCTAGGGAGGCCTAATAGCCAACTTAGGTGCACTGTGTTGATCAAGGACTTGGAAACATTTCAGGAAGCCAAAGTTATAAGTTAACTTATATGCTGCCCAGAGACCTTTGGGTAGTGTGGGTGGCATATAAGTGAAACAAACAAACAAACAAACAAATATATTCATGAAGGCTTTCATGACCGGGATCTAATGGTTGTTGTGGGTTTTTCGGGCTTTTTGGCTGTATTCTGAAGGTTGTTCTTCCTAACATTTTGCCACTCTGTGTGGCCAGCATCTTCAGAGGACTGGAGTTAGAACTCTATCTCCCAGAGCATAGAGTTCTGCCTCCTGGCCTCTGAAGATGCTGGCCACAGAGACTGGCGAAATGTTAGGAAGAACAACCTTCAGAACACGGCCAAAGAGCCCAAAAAAACCACAACAAGAAAATAAATAAATAAGTTGAAACAGTTAGTTTTGGGGACTACATCTCCCAGAATCCTTTGGCCAGCATGGTCAGGCCAGCTGATGGTTCTTGGGCTTCTAGTTCCCCCCAAATAACTGTTCTGGACTGTGCTACAATTATGTTCCAATGTTCAGTCCTGATGGCTCGCTATGGGGGCAGCTGTGTACAGACTGGAGGCTCTAGCCCTGGTGAGATTGATAGTGAAGTGGAGTAGACCAGATCTTTTTCCTTGGCTGTGAGGGAATGGCAGAACAACTTCTTCTTTGTAACTACATCCACCAAGGTCAGCACACTCCCTCCTTTCCTCGACTGCTCAATAAATACCTTCACCTTGCTGGTCCCAGCAAGCTCAAAAATCTTGTTGGTAGTGAGTGGTTTTGTTTGTTTGTTTGTTTGAATGCCAGTTTCTTTGAATGAAGCTTTTATGGGGCAGTGTGTGGTAATCTTGTAAGCAGTGCTGCCTTGTACACCTGCATCCCAGCTCATTCTGGTATGCGGCCCCTTTATTTGGCATAGGTTCTTTTTGTGCATGCTTTTGCTGCATATTTTCATGCTCTTAGCATTCCTGTCTCAGCATCCTAAATGTCTCACTTAGACAAAGCAGAGTAGTATTTAGGGAACAGCTTGCTCTTGAAATAGAGCATGTGGGAGAGGTTACTGTGGAGGGGTGGAGAGCAGGCTGTGTATACATTTTAAGTGTTGATAAGAATTGTTAAGGAATGAAAGTGCCTTGAATTAAATGAGAAGGCTGGAGGGGAAGGCATTTTGACATTGATTAGTAGATACTGCTAGCTGGAATGAAAAAGGAATGGCCCTCACCTTCGGACCTTTGCTTGCATGTGGCCAAAAGCACCTGGGGAACTGTTGTTGAAGATGGAGTGTGGGTTATGCTGAGGTGCATTGATTGGGATGCTTAGTCTAGATTGTGTCTCCATTTAGTGAACTATGACTCCCATCATCCCCAGCCAATATGGCCATGGTTCCAGTACCTCTGGACAGCACAAGGTTGGAGCAGGCTGGGCTATGAGATTGTCATATTAAAAGGACAAAAGAAAACTGGAAAAGCTCTGTGTCATTAATTATTACAACACAGGCAGTTTTGTTTTCCCCAAAGTACATGCCACAATGGAGGAGATTTCACTTGTTGAGTGTCTGTCCATTTCACAGCTCATGAAAGCAGAGGTGGCTTGCTGGGGTGGGTAAGCAGGTGGGCATTGTTGGAGTGGCTTCATGTCTGCCAGCAGCATAACCCAGGAGAAGATGTACTCTTGGGTCCCACGAGTAGCTTGTGTCTGTCCAAAAAAAGAAAGAAAGAAAGGCTGTCCTCTAGTCCTTCGTCCATGAGCTGCCCAAACAGCCCAGTGGTTTATGGCTTTGGTCATAAGAAAGGTGTGTTAGATACAGAAGATTTCCCAGTCTGTGCAAAAATATGGCAAACTGCATGCAGACCTGCAGTTTAGCTGGGCCTCTGTCTATGCTGGAGAGTGGGGGACCCCTGGATTTTTCAAAACATCCCCTATTCAGAAAATCACAGCAAGGTGTGTCCAGCTGTGCTTTGTGACCTAGAAAATATTTTCTCTGGTGGTGGTGGGGTGTGTGTGATGATGCACGTGGGACAGCCTTTGGGAGAGAAGAGCAAAGTGGCCCTGACAGACAAAGGGGAGAAAGAGCCCGAACTCTTTCCTGTCTTCCCCTTGAGTTCTTCATAGTGTAGCTTTAGTTGTCATGGCAACTCTTTGGAAACTCAGTGGCAGGCAGAGCCCCTGTTTCTCTGCTCTAGAGCGGCACTGGGGATCAATTTATTATCTTTGCCTGATGCAGCAGTGATAAACTGTATAATCCTGTCTCCTTCCCCCCCCACCCCAAATAAGCAAGCCATCAAGATGCAGAGGGGCAGAACGTACGATTTAGGGATTTGGTTTGTCAATATAATATAAAATGTTTTCTCCCTGAGATTTATTATTATATATAATATAATATAATATAATATAATACAATATAATATATGTATCTGTAAAATAAATGTGGCATCAGTGTTTCTGATTTTGATGGTGGAAGAATGTGGGAAAATAATGTGGAGCTTTATGTGGTTAGGGATGATGGTATTGTATGTTGCATGCTGTGGCCTTTTAGGTGGCATTGTAAGGTGTGATCTTCTAGCAAGTAGTCATAATAAATATGTTGAACTGTGACTAGGGAAGGCTGACTGGGGAGAGTCTGACCCCTTCTCAGCCATAAAAACTCACGGGGTAACCTAGCTCTCCACCTACATTGTCTCACAGGATTGTTTTAATGAGAAAGTGGGAAAGGTGAACCAAATATGCTGCCTTAAACTTCTTGAGGGGAAGAAAAGGATAAAAATGCAGTGAACAAATAAGTTGATACACCCTTTCTTTTTGTTATTGTTGCTGTTGTTGAATAGAATAACAGAATGATGTTCTATGGTCTTGGGTAAGAAAATATTCTGATTTTTGAAAAATAAAAACTCACCAGGGGGCCACATATGAGATTTTCTATATTTATCACTTTGATTCTTCTTTAAAGACATTTCCATGCTCTCTTTTGGTTAATTATCTTTTCTTTAAAACTTAGGGAGTGAGAAGGAAATGTCAGACTGTACTATCTTGTTTTCTGTACCATACATCCATTGTAATTACCACATTCTCAACCATGCAAGGTTACTGTTCTGATGTAGACAAACACCACCGGCGGATCTGGCCCAGCCGGTGTTAATTTTCTTGTCCTGCCCCAAACTAGTTACACATACTCCTGCTTGTGACTAAGTATCTCTTCTTGGTTGGTGCTTTCTAGAAATATATAGACCGGTAAATAGGGAAAGCTGCGAAACCATACTGCATGTTTGTATATTTACTTTCTTGGGCTACTGTTGTTTCCTGTTTCCTTTCGATTCCTTTATTTCAAATGCTATGTTGTTGTTTCATTACCCCTTCTGCTTAAAATATCTGTGAAGATTCTCAGTCATCCAGGTGTGGTTATCTGGAACTTGAGTCATGGCAGAGACTGAAGAAGCTACTTGGATGAGTAGCGAAATGTTTCAACCTAATAAGAAAAAAGTCCAGTTGCCATGACTCAACTTCCAGATATTCTAACTAAAAGGTATGTTGGGGTCAGTCTAAATTATGTGGCAGGTATTGTGCATAATGAGTGCCTAGATCTTATTTGGATGAGAAACGTACACCTGCCAGCACTAGTGCAGATTGGACTTGAGCCTTGCATGGCAGAATGCACCTGTATATCAGAACAATGCCCCCCACTTAGCAAACAGACATGCTACTTTCTCTTTGATGTGCCATCTTAACTCTACCACTTGTTTTAACTGCAGCATGTCGTCTCAAAGTATGGTGCACAGTTCCGAGGAAATTCGCAACATGATGCCCTGGAGTTCCTGCTGTGGCTGTTGGACCGCATGCATGAAGACCTGTGTTCTGTTTCTCTCAGCCAAAAAGGGAAGGTGCCTGGAAAGGTCAGTGTTCTGTTAGAGAAGGCTCTGGTTTTACTCTGAAAGCTCTAACTTTGTGATGATAATACAAAGATAAAAATCCTGTTGCACAGTTACACCTGCAGAAAGCAGATAATGTAATTTGCACTGGGTTCTCACTGACACTGAATCACAATCACAGAAAAGTGAAGTTGGAAGGGGCCTACAAGGCCATTGTCCAACCCCCTGCTCAATGCAGGAATACAATCAAATCATATCTGCCTGGTGATTACCTACGTTTTTCTTGAATGTCCCCAGTGTTGGGGCACTCACCAACTCCCGAGTTAACTGGTTTCACTGCCATACTGCTCTAACAGTTAGGATGTTTTTCCTGATATTCAACCAAATCTGGCTTCCTCTAAGCCAATTGAGCCCATTGTTGCGTGTCCTGCGCTCTGGGATGATCAAGAACAGATCTTGCCCCTCCTCTGAATGACAGCCTTTCAAATATTTGAAAAGTGCTATCATATCACCCTTCAGTCTTCTTTTCTCAAGGTTAAACATGCCCAGTTCTTTCCGTCTTTCCTCAGAAGGCTTGGTTTCCAGCCCCCTGATCACCCTTGTCGCCCTCCTCTGAACTTGTTCCAATTTGTCAGCATCTTTCTTGAAGGGTGGTGTCCAGAACTGGACACAGTACTCAAGGTGAGGCCTAACCAGTGCTGAATAGAGGGGAACTAACACCTTGCGGGATTTGGAAAGTATTCTTCTGTTAATGCAGCCTAAAATAGCGTTTGTCTTTTTTTTGTAGCCACATCACACTGTTGGCGCATATTTAGCTTGTGATCTATGACAATTCCAAGATCCTTCTTGCTCGCAGTATTGCTGTGGGGACTGAAAATTAAGAGTAGCATCTATTTTTCCAAGTGCTTTGGTTCTGCCCAAAAGCTTGCTCACTTTTGTAACATTTTGGCTGGCTGGCTTTTCTTTTCTATAGGGCAGCATAGCTACTCATGTCTTTGGTTCTGCTGTATTAGGGCAAAGATAGATGAGGTGCAGTGCTGTCAGCCTTTTCTTTTCCTAGTTAAAAGCATTAAACACAGGTGCCTTTATAAAAAATTATGGTTTGGCTCCATCCAAACCCTCTCAGTAGTCAGGGACCTTGTCATTTGCCTTTTCTATCAGAAATGTTCCAAAGGCTTTCTTGTGACACACTAAAAACAACAATCATTTACCATCTCCCTTCTCTAATGCTCCCATTGTATTATGTTTTCTTTTTCCCTTGAATCATCCACTTTATTTCAAAATTATCCATGCCTGGTTAGTGGGGCATGGGATAAAAATAAAGACTGATGTTGAGGGAATCTGTGACCCCCCCCCCAATGTTTCTGAATGGCACATGTAATCTTTTCATCATTGGGATGCTGACAGTGGCTGATGAAAGTTGCAGTCCTAGTTCCTGATTTTCCATGCTGTATTTGACTTAAGCTCCTCTCACCTTGTAGTACTGTTAATTGTGGTGATGAAAAGGCAGGGTACAATATTTGTAGCTATCTTTTACCTTTCTGCAGCCAATAGTAGCCTTGGGTAGGGAAACTAGGGATTTGGCAGTGACATTTCTCTCTCTCTCTCTCTTTTTTCCATTTCATGTTATTTTGGGGTGCCACTTTCATTTCCATATTTTTCATGTACCAATCCTTTAATTTTACATTCTTTCAATACATTTATTTCATGTTTCCTAAATTGTTTTTTTTATTTTTGCACTACACAAGCCATAAAGAACCCTTAAAAACTACACCAAAAAAGCAGAGGCAAGGCAGCAGAGAACCAATCTACTCCAAAAGTAGGCAATAATACATGAGGAAGAAAAATCAACGACTATCAACCATAAGAGCCCAGTGGCACACTAGCAGAATCACGAAGTCCAACCCTCTGGCTCACATGGCACTGCAAAAGCAAGCAAAAGCATCTCAAAAAACTAACCAAAACCCATATCTTTAATAAATGCACAGGAAATTAATTAAATCATTTTTTTAAAAAATCAAACACAGTAAATTAACCAAATAATATTATTTTTTAAAAATCAGAAAAATAATAAAATAAAAAACAACAGCACAGGCATCTATCCCAAAACCCAAGAAAAGCAAGCAGGTAAATAAAGGCAAAAAAAGAGACCAAAGCCTTTAAAAACCAAAATTAGTAGAATATGGAGTTTTCTGTTGCATTATGCCCTTTCCCCCTTTTATTTGAGCCTATTGGGCAGTAGCAGGCCAGTCAGAGAGCAGCAAAAGTAATCCAAGAAGAAAACAACAACAAAACAAGAAAAAATTCTCTAAGAAATGTGGAGGGAAAGAAAAATCCAAAAATGGCAACACAGGAATGTTGTCAGTCAGTGAGAAAAATAATCAAAAGACATGGGGGAGACGAGAAATCTCCTTGAAAATCAAATATAAAATGTCAAAAGGGGGAAAGACCCAAGATAGAGACACAGGTAGGCACCAATCCAAGATGGATGGCACCAGGGGCTCAGCACATAGTAGTCCCAAAGACAAAGCAAGAAGTGGTCCTCACTTGATTCCAGGCTGTTTTGCAGTTCAGATATGCCTGCTTCCCCTGAATGTTCTAATTATCTGGTGATAAAAGCCCTCACAGTGCTGTTGGATGAAAAATTTCTCAGGTGGCTTGACAAATAGGGAGCACTAAAAGGCTACATGAAAGGGAACATAAAAGAAATGCAAACTTTCATGTATTCATTTTCTGTAAACGTGAATCATTCATGTTTTAGAAACTCTCTTTAGTCGGTCACCGAAAGAACAGAAATTACATGAAAGAGTCTCTCTCGCTCACTCTTGGTCATATCGTGGATCTTTCATTTAATCACAAAAACTGCTGCAAGATCCAGCTACCACAATTACTAGTATACACAGTTTGTTAGGTCTTTAGGCTCAGCCAAACGATTTCGCATGGCAGTGACCATGCAGCAGGCAGAATTCAAAAGAGAAACAAAGATATTTTGCTAATAATAATTCAATAAACTTATATATTTATACTGTATGTGACTCTGCACCTACTGGGTGTTGCTGAAGCCTTGGAACCAATGATACCTCCTCACTCTCTAGTTTTATCTAAAGAAAAAGACATTGAGAGCTCCAAACACAAGTCTTTAATATCATGTCTACTATGCTATTTACTGTAAAAGGAAATAAGGACAGTGTTAAATACATTGCCCCCTTTCTAACAATAATAGTAACTTTTGTATATGCAGTTATGTTATGTTTTCATATTTTCATTTATATGTAACTCTTTAGTTGGTTACAAGGTAGATGGTTAATTATTTGAAGCTAACTCTCTGTAACTGATAAACAGCCCTAACTGAAGTAGCAAGCATGCAGTTTACCAATGAAATCCTGAGGCCTCAGTTAACAGGTCATATGGTGGATTAGCAAGGCTTCGGGAGTGACTCAAGTACTGCCCTGATTATAAAATGGATGAGTCTGAAGTATTTTTTCTTTTACTTTCTGCATGACACAAAGGCTGATTTGACTCCCTCCAGCTCTTTTTGCTTCCAGAGTAGCAGTTTTTCTGTGTCCCCTGGGGGCGTTTACTTTTTCAAACTGGAAGGATTCAGTGGGGCTTCCCCCCCCCCAATGGACATTCTTGTAAAAACACGGGGGCTGTAAGTGGAGTTTTCAGTGATGTAAGCAGTTGTGCGATTTCATATGTCCCACTATGGGAAAACAGTTGGGGCTCTGAAATGCGAACACGCACACACTTGCGACCCCATATTGGAATTTCCCTCCTCTCAATTTCAAGTGCTTTGTACTTTCAGTAGAAGTTCAGATGGAAAAGTCATAGACAGATCCAAGGTGTTCAGCCTGCAAATAGGGAGAAGGATGGTGGTGATGCGAATCCCAACGTGTTAAGTGTGAGTGCACACATTTCAAAGAGTGTTAGAAAATGTCCCACAAGGAAAAATATTCAGGACTTTGAAACATGTGAGTGCACTCTCTCTCTCTCTCTCTCTCTCTCTCTCCACTTTGGGATTCCACCCCTGCCATAATTCACACAGAACAGGTCAATAACAGGATCCTCACTGCCTCCCCTCACTTTGTCCAGCTCTAGTTTTCTTATACAAAACCATAAAAGGATTGCAGAGGTGGATCCAGAGGAAGAAAGGAAAGAAGGAGGGCTCTGTGGGCTGAAATATGGCTCACATTGCATCCAGTATGAAGGGTGAACTTTTGAATTAATCCGCAGCCCCTGTGTGAGCACTAACTGTGATTTCACATACATTCCAGACTGCGAATCAAATCGTAGCAAAGCCAGGTTGTTCCAGTAAAACTTTTCAGTGTGGTCACATCCTTAGACTTAAGACAGACTTGTGAAGAGGATTGCCAGCAAGAAAGGACCAGCAAAAGTTACATTATCTTGTAGCCTCATTTGTGCAAAACTCTACAACCAACCCTCTGGGTATTCCCCAGATAGAATGACACCCAGTGTTTCAGATGTACCATAGAATTAGGCTCAGTAGGCTTGACATAGACTAGGCAGTCCCTGAGTCTCCTTGACTCTCACGGTGTGAACACCCTTCGGAGAGTGCTACTGATCTTTTACTAATTATACCACCAGGCAACTTTCCGGAATGGAGTGGCAGCTGCTGTGCTGCTGGCAAAAATAGTAATTAAAAAGAAAGAAAGGAAAGGGAAAAGTCCAGATACTAAAAGCTTTCTCCCCCCCCCCCCGCCCTTCTCAGGGCAGTTCTTAAAACAGTGCTGGGATTGGGTCTCTGAGTGGAAGGCTCTCAGGGAGTCTGATACTGTGAGAATCCAAAGAGGTCCCAAAGCCTAGCAGATTTGACTACATAACATTACTGTAAGGGTGATAGTAGTGTTGTACCCTGGAAGGTTGATGTGGGACTTACTGGGAAGTCCTTTGAGCAGAAAACACAGTGTAAATTCCAAGTGCTTTTATTAAGAGCTCCTATTGCTATTAGAACATCCTGCCTAAGGGCAATTTCTAAAGCTAAGCAGTGCGTCTGTGAGTCTGGA